TTTAAGGGAAAAAAACAAAAAAAAGGTAAAATTTGAATTTAATTTTTTTTTTTTTTTAAATTATAGCTGTTAAGGCACTGTTTGGTATTGTAGAAACAGTGCCTTAACGGCCAAATACACTATTTGGCCTACACATTTAAAATTTAAAGCAAAAAAATTTAAAAAAAAAAAAAAACAAATTTTAAGGGGAAAAAAACAAAGTTTTTTAATTTATTTTTGGCCCAATTTTTTTTTTTTTTTTGGACAAACAATGCCTAAACAATATATTTTTTATTTAATGAATTTTATTTTATTTCTTTCCCCAAAAAAAGAGCTCTAAATAACCTATTTTTTGGTTTTTTTTAAAAAAAAAATTCTGCCAAATAGTGCCTTGGCTACTGTACAGAACTGTTGAAACAAAAAACAAAACTGCCTAATGCAAAACAGCACCATTTTGCATTTGAAAAAAACAAAAAAAAAAAATTCCAGCGATCGCTGGCTAGCTCGCTGAATACCGCAAGCCGACCCGCGATCGCTAATGGCCCTACCACTTATAGTTAGCCCGTTGCTGCCTCTATAGTACAGTCGCTCGCCCAAAATGGGCTTTGAAGAGCCCTACTACGGATGGCCTTTACCAATCTCTCTATAAAAACAAAAAAAACGAGATGCCAAAAACCAAAATCCTAATGGGCCACTTTCCTAATTGTGTACATCAACCGCCATTGCAGTCAGAGTATGTAAACCTAATGCAAGATCGAGGTGATGTCTTTGATCACACTCGAACTCTCGATCATCATGGGTCAAAAGCCTTTGGTTAGGATTGATTGGGCAATTTTTGAAGTTGTAGATTGAGCGTTCCAGCCTAAGTGGGCTGGACTTTTAGGGATGTGTTTCAAGACTTTTTTCCAGGGCAAGGTCGAGCCGAAGTCCAATTTACTTGTAAGTTTAATTTGCAATTTTATTACTTATTATTATTATTATTATTATTTTTTAAAAAAAAAAAAAAAAACAACAACAACAACTTCAGAAATTACAGAATTTCCTTTAACTTAAAAAAAAAAAAAAAAAAATTACAGAATTTGATAAATTTTTGAAAATTAAAAAATAAATTGATAATATTTTCTAAATAAAAAAATTCAATTATATATGTGTGTGTGTGGGACTACGTCACCTCACTGACTATATTTAATCTCCTCTCAATGTGTGAAACTGTGAATGTAATGCATTCTATGTCCAAAAAGCTTGAGACTAGTTATTGTATTTATACATCCAAGTCTTAGTAGCAATTAATTTAAGAAATTACTCTTGACATTAGTTAGTAGTTGAGTGTAAGATTCCGGTCAATTCGGTTCAAAATTTTCTACTGTTCATTTTCGATTTTAGTTTCAAAAATGAAGAAATGTAAGTTTACGGTTCAATTTTGGTTTCAAGCTTATTAGGACTAGATCGAACTGAATAGTAAATTATTTATTTATATATATATTAATAACATAAAACATATGATAAGGCTATACAATCTACACCCCTACGTGCTTGAGCAGATGTTTTTGCACTCTTATGATGATAAATTGTATGCTTTCAATATTATATCTAATATTAGTTATGTTTATCAACAAAAATACGACTTAACATTTTTTGAATGTTATATATTTTAATATTTCTATTTTTTGACTCGTTGATATATATATTTTTTTATTTTTTAAAGTAGATGATGAGAGTTCGAATCTACAAATGTGTAAAGTGGATGTGTGAGCGTGTGAGTTTCTTATCAAAGCCAAAAAAAAAAAAAAAAAATACCACATCATCAGTGACTTACTAAGAATTTTAATAGAATGGCAGAATATAGACAATAGGGAATGTAACCCACGGATCCATGTGGCACACCCCATGGTTCCCGTCAAACTCAAGCCTATCAAAGAGATGATCGGAGTCCATCTCGACCCCAAGGCCCACGTGGCATACCCCACACAAGTCGAGTTCGAGTACTATTGTATGTCTCAATAACAACACCCGAACAAGGGTGCTCGAGATTTTCATGAGCATTATGGATCAATCGTAGTGGCCATGACTTACAATTGCTCAACTCACAGGCCTAGTTAAGGAGATGATGAAATCACGTGCCTAGATTATAAGACTAATAATCACATTAATTATTTTCAACTATTGCCCTTTTTGAAATGATGTGCATTTGATGCAATAATGTTCAAACCGAAGTAACCCTATTAAATCTGATAGGATCACGATGGCTACCCTAGTAAGGTGGGCCCAAGCTTTGGGTCTTACCCTCCATAGCCTAACGAAGGGCTGAGACTATAAAAAGGACCTCATGCATTGAGTGTGGGGACCGAGGAAAGATCAACGGGAGACGCGCATCTCTCTCACTAGTTGTCTTGGTCTTCTTCTGGACAAGAATCTTGTTCATTTCATCATATTTTCTCCAATTACTTGTAATATTTGTTGAAATAAAGAACCCCACGTGGACCAATTAAAAACTTTCCGTTAAAAATATTTTATCATTTGATTCCAGAGCTCAACAGCTTTGGTTCCAGTTCCAACGTTTTAGAAACACTTGGAATCGATTCGGTTCCCATTCGGCATTTACCCATGTGTGCATTTCTACTTTTAACTACCCACCTACCTACCGGCACTGCAAAACAAACCCCCTTTATAGCTCATACTCTGGAGGAGTTCTAGGGCTGGCCCTTTTCTCCCCTCTCTCTCTCTCCAGCTCACACTAACCCACCTACATTCTGTTCAATGGTCTCCCTCACTGAACCAAGCTTCTTTCTTCGTTTCCCGGAAGTGTTCACACAGATCCAATTGTGAGGACTCAATGCTAGAAAATTTTGACTGATTTGACTTGATTCTTGCCTTTTTTGTTGATTTAGTTCTTGATGGTTGAACTTATTGATGTATTAGGTTTTGATCTATTTAGTGATTTTCTGGTTTCTTGTGTAATTCATTGCGTGTTAGCTTTTGTTTCTATTTTATTTTTTGTATATTATTAGTAGATTGTATGATAGAATTATTGCATCAGTGATGAGAATTGCTCTTCAACCCTCTGTTTTTTCTTGGAATTGTCTCTTTCCCTACTCTGATAGAAGATTTTGGAGTGAATCTGCAATGTATTTTTATTTATTTATTTTATTTTTCACTGCTTATTGTCACACTGTCACAGATTGGAACACAATTTTTTTTTTTTTAATTATTCAAATAAGATGAGATCGGCCTTGTAATGCAATAATCTATCAAATCTTTGACAGAAGTACTATATTAAAGACTCTAATGGACATATTAGAGTGAATTCAATAATCGAGAGAACTCAATTCCTTGTAAGTTAGTTTGCGGATATTTTCGGTACTGTCAATTAGAAGAAGACATCAATTTTTTCTGTATGATTACTTCAATTTTTGCATGTTTTTTTCAATTTCAGTAGTTGTTGAAAGCTGAAAGCTTGTTATGTTTGCTTTAGCATTGTTTACTGTATCAAATTTTGATATTTGCAAGTGCTCTGTTATTATTCTACATTTTCTTGCTTAATTGATTAGGTTTTTTTATTGATGTCCTTCATATACTGCAACTCATATCCATGTGCACTCATATACCTTCATTCTTATTTTTGTTGTAATTCTAGTATAATTATTATTTTTAACATGTGTGACGAACTAAAAAATATATATTAAAAAAATCATTTCAAATCAGAGTTCTTAAAGATTCCTCACTGTGCTGGATCAAAATCATTCGTTTGTTTCTTCGAGGAACTGTAAGCTGCTATTTAAGTTAATTTTGTTCTCTAAGTGGTTTTAACTCATTTGTAAATATGCATTGCCCTTCTCATACAAATACTTTGCTCAGAAAATGGCATTACAATGTCAAATAGATAGTGCCTTTTTCTAAGTCAATTTAGAGAGATCCACTAATTTTAAATACTCTCCATCCATTTCCTAATTGATACCCTGCGTCTTATTTGCTTTTTATTCTTCACTTATGCGCTTCAAATTTTGGATAATTTATCTGCATTTAAAATTTTGATTAATCTCATTTTGTTCATTTATATTATGGATATTTCAGAAAAATAAGGATCACTCCAATAATAATACATGAAGAATGAAAATGATAGTTTTGAGTAAAGAATGACTTATTCAAGTAACCTTTGAAGTCACGAGAATGTTTTAATGTATAATTTAGAAACGGTAAAAGAAAATGAGAGTTTTAAGTTAAAAATGACCTTATTCAAGGTTGCATTGAATTCAAGAGAGTGTCTTAGTTTATAAAGTTAGAAACTTTGAATGAAAACCAGAGTTTTGACTTAAAAATGACCTTATTCGAGGTACCTTGGAAGTCACAAGAGTGTTTTAATGTATAAAGTTAGAAACTTTGAATGGAAATGAGAGTTTTGAGTAAAAAGTGACCTTTTTCTAGGTATTTTTTAAGTCACAACTATGAAGGTGCACAAAGTTACAAGTTAAGCTTATCTAAAACTAAATTAGTTGTTGCGTTAAACAATAAATTGCTGCAAAAAACAGTTCGGAAACATAAGATACAAACATTAATTTCATAAAATTTTACAATAATACCAATTGGCCAATGGTCTAGCGATATCAAGGGTTCTATCCTTAATGGAGGCATGTGTGTGTGAGTAACAACTACAAAAAAAAATTGAATAAGAAACAAAAACAAGGATAGAGAAAAGAATATTATACTACAGATACATCATACATGAGTACAAGATTTTTTTTTTAGAAAGACAAAAGAAAAAAGGCCAAGAGAAAGAAGAAAGAAAAGAAAAATGAGAAGACTTTGAATGGAAGAACGATTAGGATTTGATTGAAGAGGGAGAATGCAATTATTTATTTATTTTGAAGAGAATCAAAGAAGTGTGAAGGACACAAAACAAGGCATGGATTATTAAAAAGGGAGGGAGGGCATTTTGTAAAATTTCACAAAATCACATATATAAAAGTAACAAAAAAATTAATAATAATGTACAAAAGACACTGACAAACTCTTTATGCCATATCTACATAACAAAAAATAAATAAATAATTTTATGGCATGTCTTCATCTGCTCTCCATGTTTTATTATGTAAACATATCCACCAGGAAAGAAGCAAGAAGCATCGTTGGATCCCCCAACAGAACACCAACTATGGCCTTGAGGAACATCTTCGTTGTGTGCCGACTAAACTGATGATCACTCTCTCTTCTTCCATCATTCCTATTCGAATTCCTATTCCAATTTACTGCAAGCTGTGTATCCAGCTTCTTTAATGCCACGGAATCAATGTGATCAATGAACCCCTGCCTCCATGCCTCACGCACCATTTCAGTCACACAATAGACGTGGAAGTGACACCTCTTGCGAGCAGAAATGTAAGACCAGCCCGAAATATTAGTGGCCGTTTTGCTGCCCTGAAGATATTTCTTGTTGCACCACTTGCATTTCGATAACACCTCGTAATGAAGCTCAAAATCATAACCATCTATACATAGTTTGCTCTCGAGCTTGCTGCAACAAGGGTGCAGATCCAGTGACGATTTGTCCTTGGCTTCGCTGTGGTAAGCAAAGCCACATATGTCCTTCCCACAAGCATCGCAGATTTTGTTTGCGAGTTGATCAAAGAATTTGAAGGTGCACCCTTCAAAAAATTCAAGCGAAATTTGGCTTTTGGAGATCCAACATTCCTTACATTCCCTATGAAGTTCATAGTCGCAGGACTCACATCTGAATCTAGGTCCAAAACCTAGCTCCTTGCATCCGCTGCATATGAAAGGTTTGTTATAGTTTTTCAACTCAAGGTCATGCTCGTGACTAATTTGTTTTTCCTTTGTAGTACTCATGGCAAGAGAATCATCTTCATCATTATCATCATCGTGGTGATCGTTGTTGTCGTCATCATCGTCAGCAGCAGCAGCTGATGCCCGCGCTTTCCTATAATTAAGAGAACAAAAAGAAAAGAAGAGTTAGGGGGCGTAGATGACCAATGAAGTCTGTAATTCAGAACATATAGAAAAAAGGAAGGTTAGTCTAATGTATCCAAGAACATTAATTAGATGACGTTTGTACTTGTCATGATTTGTGCAAGAATATAAAGAAATAAAAATTCTTAATGAAAATTCTTACATTAATGTTGACACTTGATCATTATTTTCGGATAATTGCTGCAGTTGTGGTGCTGTATTTGGGTGGTCATGAACTCCATGAACTGGTTTTGCTGGTACAATTTGCATGCTCTTGGACTCGAATTGCTCCGGCAAAAGCACTGCTCCCTTGAAATGCTTTCTAAGCGCTGCTAAGAGGGCGTGTGGATCCGCGGTACCTGAGACGGTAACCATCCCTTCATTTGCATCAATGGTATATGAATGCACTCCTTTAGTCTTTTTCAGCACTTTCTTGACTTTTCCCACACATCCAACGCATGCGCACTGGATGTTCAGTTTCACAGCAAAACTCTTTTCCGCCACCATAGATGAGTAACTTGATGATCACTGAAATTAATTAATTGGACAAAGATCAATAGAAATGATATACTACTACTTAATTCTCCAAAAGACTCGAATGAGGTTGAGATACAGAGAAAACAGAGGCTATGGGTATTTTATAGGGAATCCATCTCTTGGCGTTTTAAAAACGCTACTCTCTAGCGTAGTTGTTAAGTCGGAGACTACTGGTCAACTTCCAAGAAGCTGTCAAGCATTTTCCATGTTACGTAAACTATTTTTTAACAATATATATATATATAAAGCTCAAGTACTTTGAACATAATTTTATGGTTGGCCTTTTATCTTTTTCAATACCAATGAGGAAATGAGGAAAGACGGTCGGTGCCCCAGTTGTTTTAGCATATTTGGGTTGAGACTTGACCGTAGCTATCCTTTTATGTTTTATTTTCTGGAGGGGGTTAAGGTAATTTTTGACCAGGGAAGGAGCCAGCATGTGCCCCGGGCGGGGCAGCTGCCCCATGCTGGTCGACTAGAATTTATTATTATTTTTTATTTTTCTTATACATAATTTGTAAAAATTGATAAAATGTCCTTCCTTAAAATTAATAAAATGGTCCCTCTATCCTTGAATTCACTAAATTTTATTTTATTTTATATGTATAAGTTGTAAATATTTATAAAATACCCCTATAAAATTTATAAATTATCTCTCATGAAATTATCTATTTTTAAAAATATCTTTAATTCTTTATTCTTTTTACTTCTTATTCTTCAAAATTTTTTTTGTCATCTTTAAAAAATTTTACATTCTCTTTCTACAATTAAAATCTATTTTTTCCTTCAAAATTCTTTCGTTTTTTTTTAATTTTATTTTCTTCTTAAAAATTTCTTCTTTCTTGCACTCATTCATAATTTCTGTTCAAAAATTTCTCTTTTTTTTCTTTTTCTCTTCTTATTCAATTTTTATTCACTTATTCTAATGTACTGTTGTTAAGCTATTATATTTTTGGCTTGTTTGGAAAAAAATTTATTTTGTCAAAGTTAACATGCTCCCGAACCAAATTCATGGCTCCGCCCCTAATTTTGACCATTATAGTTGATATTTGTTCTAAATTTTCCTTAAAAAAATCAGTTTATCTCTACGGTTCTAATAATATTAATGTTGTATGTTGACTGTGTTTGGCGTCATGAAATTAGAACTTTAAAATTGAAATTGGTGGAATTGAAGAACATTTTGATTTAATTTTCTGAGTTATTTTTTCTCCAATTCCATGCCTGCCAAATATAGTCTAAATTCTTTTTTCATATCATGATTCCAGCTTCAATGGAACAGCACCAATCGGTATGATTGGAGATGGTGGGAAATTCTAGATGCCATGTTTTGTAACATAAAAGAATGAGATAAAATTTTAAGGGGTATGTTTTAGTGGAAGTCGTCTTGACCTCATTAAGCATCAGGCTTAAAGTTGTGCGCGAGTGAAATGCCAAGTTTTTAAGACACACATGTAGGGGATGCTTTGCATAGTATCCAGAGAATTTAGTTGGAACAAAGTATGGATACACGGATTACCTAAAATAAAGAAAATAATAATAATGGGAGAAGAATTATGTGGACGATCCATTCAAACTGGGATCATGGGAAAATAATTATAATGTGAAAACATATGTACTTACAACCATAATAAGGAAAAGTGGATGCTATTTAAAACAGAAACAATATACAATAATAAATCTGAAAATTGATGATTATTGGTCGGTTAAAGAAAAGACACAAATACCCTGCAGGCCCCATGAACCATGAGTAGAACAAAACACCACCGTCCAAGGACGACTGCAGATTCGCGTTGTTGACGGAGGTCAATGGCATTTTGTTGAATTCTTGCTGCCTTAATGAAGTCGACCAAGGAAGCTATGCTGAAGTTTCCCGTTTGGACTAACGTTGGACTCGTAAAAATCTAATCATTGTCACATAGTCGGTGGATCAAATCAAAGAGGTAATTGAAGTGGAGCTTGTTATGTGGGGGGCATAGATTCCACTATAATTGTGTCTTTATTCCTTTTGTTTGTTTGTTTTTTTTTGTTTTTCTCTTAATTTGAATCTGCTATTATTTTTATACGATAGATGATGAGTAATTGCCTCCGTCCATGCATACGGATGTTATGGTGAGGGCCATCCATATATGCATGTTCTGATATCAAATAATAAATAAATAAAATTATTGCAAAATTATATTTTAATCAACAGTATAAAAAAGATAAATACTTCGATCAAACCATTCAGCCCCTCATTTGGAATCCATTAGGTTTTGCCAAAATAAAAGGCCTAAAGCCCAAAAAAGACACAGTAAAGACTCATAGAGTCAGAGACCTCTCCAAAGGTTTGGTATACTTCACATGAATCTTTCTTGTGGTTTGGGAATTTATATGGACTTCTCCTGAAAATAAAATTAATCTACATGAACCTCCGTTCGGTTAGAATCAACATCAATCAATCACGAATTGTGCTGACGTACTACCAATTCAACAACCAAAAGATCAGCAATCGCTAGATGATCATCTTGTAGAAAAATATATGGGAATGGTTGAACAGCAGCCAGGAATCATAATAAACCCTGCAAGAAAAAGATCCTGATGCAGTGGCCGGAGCTTCTGCAATTGAAAGGGCGAGAATCGAAGATCTCATTAATCTCTCTCTGCCCCTAAATTGTCCTAATCAAATCATTAACCCTAACTCCACTCTATATCTCTATGTTCTACAAATCGCCCCAAATTGGCCTAATCAAATTGTTAACCCTACTCCACTCTCTTTCTCTTTATGCTCTGCAAATCGCCCCAAATTGGCCTAATGAAATCGTTAACCCTAACTCCACTCTCTCTGTCTATGCTCTGCAAATCGCCATCTCTGTCTATGCTCTGCAACCCTTCAACAGTCAAAGACCAAACACATCTATAATCATTCACAAAGCTTTTGCAAACACCAGTGACAAAGACTCAAATCGGTGTTGTCGTCTCTGATTGGTAATTTTTGGTTCGTATTACGATGAGCAGGGTCGTTGACTTGTCGTCACCTTCTTTACTTGTTGTTGCTAAGGTGTGCGCATGGACAATAGTCTTACGGCGGGAGAATCGTCAGAGCGAGCACAGTCCCTAAGAAGATGCCTTTCATCCCATCGATGCCACTCACCCCACCAAGAAATCCCCAATCTGCATATACGTCCTCCACCTCATCGAGTTCAACGGTTGCGCCTCTGCCATGCTCATCATCCACAACACCTGTAAATCCAGCCACCCCGCCCTCAACCGGACCCAAGCCCAGTCTGACCACATATCAACGCCTTCAAGCAGCATGTCAGATGTAATATATATTATAATTTAAGTATTAACGGTCCGTCACAAGGAAGGAGGTTGTAGGTTAGTTTCATTTTTAGAACAGGTTCGTGTAAATTCTTAAATTACAGGAGAAATTTTTATAATTATGACAAACTATAAGAAAGGTCAGTGTAAATTATTCATACTTAAAAGGCCATTGAACAACAATAACTGAAATGGAGTTCTTCATTGCATCTTGGGACAACACTTGGGAGCCTAATAATAAAAAATAAAAAAATTAGGGAATAAACAACACTTGGAGCCTAATAAGAGAGAGTGGGATTTTTCTATAATAAAAAAATTCACAAAATCACGTATATAATAATAATAATAATAATAATAATAATTCATTGACAATTTTTTTTTTTTTTTTTTTTTGAATGGTAAAGACATTGACATTGTTTATGCTATTCATACAAAAAAAATAAAAAATAATAATAGTAATAAAATTGTTCATCTGTGCTCTATGATTATATATATTTATTATGTTAGCAAATCCACCAGGACAGATCCAAGAATCATTGTTGGATCCCCCAAAAGAACACCGATTATGGCTTTGAGGAACAACTTCATTGGCTTCCTACCAATCTCACTTTCTCTTCCACCATCAACCCTATTGGAATTAACTACAACTTGTGGATCCATCTTCTTTAATGCCATGGAATCAATGTTATCAATCAACCCCTGCCTCCATGCCTCACGCACCATTTCAGTGACGCAGTAGACATGGAAGTGACACCTCTTGCGAGCAGAAATGTAAGACCAGCCCGAAATATTGACGCCCTTCTTGCTGCCCTGAAGATCTTTCTTGTTGCACCACTTGCATTTCGATAACACCTCGTTATGAAGCTCAAAATCATAGCCATCCATGCATATTTTTTTTTTGAGGTTGCTGCAACAAGGGTGCAAGTCCAGTGACTTGCCCTCGGCTTCGCTGTGGTAAGCAAAGCCACATATGTCCTTCCCACAAGCATCGCAAACTTTGTCTGTCAGTTTATCAAAGAATATGAAGGTGCATTCTTTGAAAATTTCATGGGAAATTTCGCGTTTGGAGATCAAGCATTCCTTGCATTCCTTATGAAGTTCATAGTCACAGAACTCACATCTGAATCTATGCCCATAACCCATCTCCTTGCATCCACTGCAGATGAAAGGTTTATTATACTTTTTCAACTCAAGGTCATGCTTGTGGGATATTGAGTAACCAATTTTATTTTCCTCTGTAGTTCTCACATTGTTGCCATCGTTGTCATCATCATCACGTGCTTTCCTACAATCAATAAAAAAAAATAAAAAAATAAAATAAAATAAAGAGTTGGTGATTGGTTTGGATCACAAAATAAGTACAATTTTGAAGAAGGAATGAACTTTTGAAGATGAAATTAGGCCTAAAACACTAGCCAAACATTTATGTAACGTATGTTTTAAGTGGAACCCATGTTTATAATTTAAAATATATCTAAGGAGATAAAAACGTTTATGCATGTTTGAATTATTGGCCAGAGTAGCATTGTACCTTCTTTGAAGATATATGTAATTAGTGAAAAGGTCAAACAAAGAATTAAAATTTCTTACAATGTGGATTCTTGATCGGTAATTTGGGACAATTGCTGCAGTAGTTGTGGTGGGTTGTGATGAACTCCTTGAACTGGTTTTGTAGGTACAATTTGCATGGTCTTGGAGTCGAATTGCTCCTGCAAAACCTCTGCATTCTTGAAATACTTTCTAAAAGCCGCTAAGAGGGCGTGTGGATCGACGGTACCAGAGATGGTGACCTTCCCTTCATCTGCATCAATGTTGCTTGAATGCACTCCGTCAGCCTTTTTGAGCACTTTCTTGACATTTCCCAAGCACCCCTCGCAGCCGCTCTGGATGTTCAGTTTCAGAGCAAAACTCTTTTCGGCAACCATAGATGGAGCTAGCTAGGACTATATATATAGGAGTTTATCACTGAAATTAAATTGGACTAAGCTGGCCAACACAAATGATCTATCAATCTCTCTTACAATCGAATAAGTACTCGATCAAATGAGGGCACATACAAGTATGTGGTGTGTGTGTGATTTGTATTTATAATGTTCAGTCTCTACTGTCTACCTTAAAGGGGAAGATTTCCAAGAAGCTGCCAAGCATTTTCCGCGTAGACAACGCGTGGTGATTTTCTTACCTTAGTTGTTAAAGAAAATGACACTTCCACTAGTGTGAACACTAGTGTGAACGAAGAAAATGAAAAGAAAGGAAACTTCAAAAGTAATTTTTTTATTTTTTTATTTTTTTCTTGTGCCTGATTCTCTGCTGTTACAATTATTTGACCTAATGGTATTGTAATTTGTCAATACATTTTAATGTGTTGAAAAATTATGCAGCGCATTGTCATCTTCTAATTATACTTGAAATTCTCAAGGTTGAAGAATAGAGTTGAGGAGATAAGGATGTACCGTTTGATTTTCAGACTTTTGTTGTTGGTTTAATCCACTTAAATACTTGACATCTCTTGATCTCTTTTAATTGTGCTTATATTATTTAATTGGTTGGTTTGTGGATTGTTTCAGTAGTTATTTTCTTTAATTTGTCAAATGGGACACAAAGGTCTCTTGACATTTTCTATACTTTTCCCATGGTACCACCTTCAATTGGCATTTAGAACCATGGTGTTACAAGTGGGATTTGTTTTGCATCGAATTTGGATGCGGTTGAAGTATGTATAAATGGATGGGTATGCAGTACTATCCAACAGCTTGAGTTTTTTGGTAAATGGGTAAGCATTCACCCGTTACAGTTAGTATCAGAGCCAGATTCAGTCCTTAATCCGGTATCAAGTCAATCGTCAGGCTTGAAGGGCGTCCAGATCTGATCCCAAGTAGGCAGGGTAATCCAATCGTAACAAGGGCGTTGTACGAGTTCGGGTGAAAAAAAATGTTACAAGTGCACTTGTCCCACACCAAATTTAAATAAGAGTTGAAGTGTGTATAAATAAGTGTTGCGTGATAGATTGACCCAACAAGAACACAAAAGTCATTTGCCACATCTCGGAAAATAATATTTTCACTTCATTTTTTCTAAATAATCCTATTTTAGTCCCAAAACAAGTATTATGTTTCGAGAACTGTGACAGTTCAATTTGTGAGAGTTACGGTTCCCTAAAAGTGACACTTTTTATGGAACGGAAAGAGTAATAAAATAATATCTTTACCCAAAATATAAAAATTGAAAATTATTGGTGGGAGAATGGAAACAAACAAATACCCAACAAGGCCCCATGCACCGTGAGTATTAGACAAAAAAAAACACCGTTCATTGTTTTGAGATTAGAGGACCCTACATTTAAGTGCAAAATTAGGTAAACCAAAATTTCAAATATCTACTCCTAAATATGTTATGAGTTTGTTTAGTTTGTCATTCGAAAGTATAATTTTTAATATACCCAAATTCAGTAATAGAAAAGCATGTTTATTTTTTTTTTAGAACTATCTTTTATAATTCTTTCAAAACAATTTTATATTTCGTGAATTTTTTATGAGCGATAAGTTAAGCACGCCCTATGATTTTAGTTAGAAGAATAGTCATATATGTAGTCTATTGTGGGTTAGGAAGTACGAATTGTGGGTTATGAGAGCGACGTATGATATACCAATGCTCCTCAAATACTCATGTATACGCGTCCAATATTTTTCTTTCACGTATTCATAATTTTAAAATATATTTTTTTAATTTTTAATACGTATTCGATACTTTTAAGATACTTTTAATATTTCTCAAATACTTTATAACATATTTTTAACAACTTTTGAATATTAAAATATAATTTTTCTAACAATAATAACATAACTTAAACACGTATCTGATTAAAAATGTTTGTTTTATGTGTTTTGAAATGAAATCTTATCTTATATTAATTGTTATATTTAAATTCATAATATTAAAAAAATAATATAAAAATATATTACTCCATATTATTTATATTTTAAAATTTATTGCATCACATTATATCTGCACCCACATCCATGCTTCTCAGCGATTGCGAAACTAGAGGCACTCTCTCTGCTCTTGATGTCATTAAAATGACATCAGCAGCTGATGACAGATCTATTGTTGGAGCTGATTGGATGTTGGAACCTTCCCCGTGATCTACTCATTCATTTTGTCACATAGTCGGTGGATTTTGTGGGCCATAAGTGCGTCTATTTATTTCTTTTGCATAACCAGGTGGCCAAGGGCATGCCAATTGTCGTGTTGTGCTACAAAAAATCAAATCAGTTTTTTTATTTTTATTTTTCCATAAGTTCAATTGTTGCCTTCTAATTATAATAAGTGGCGGAGCTAGTGTGTGCCTAGAGGGGGCACATGCCCCTCCTGATCTGGCCCCGCTTATTATAAAATATAATAATTTTTATTTTAATTTGTATATTTATAAGGAAATTTTTATATAATGCCCCCTCTAAAATTTTAAATTTCTAAAATTATCTTTTAAATTTTTTCCTTTTTCTTTTGCTCTTAATATTCCTTTGATTTCCTTAAAAAAAGTTAAATTTTCCTTCTGTACTCAAACTCTATATATATATTTTTTCCTTTCAAATTTCTCATTTTTCTTCCCTTTTTCTTCTTCTTCTTCTTAATTTTTTTTTTGACCCCCTACTTCTTAAACATTTTTCTTTTTGCACTTAAGAATGATGTATATAGTATGTATTTTTTTTTCTTCTTATTTAAATTATATATATATATATATATATATATATATATATATATATATATTTTACACTGCGCCCCCTCTGAATTAAAATCCTAGCTCCGCCCCTGATTATAATTGTGGTTAGATTAGTGAAAAAAAAAAAAAAAAAAAAAAGAAAGAAAGAAAGAAGAAGAAGAAGAAGAAGAAGAAGAAGAGAAAAAACTATATTCGAATATTTTGATGTTAAAGGGACTCTAAAGATAATTTATTTGATAAAATATTTTTTGTGTTTTTGGTGTTAGTTTATAGTAAAATATTTATAAAAAAAAATATTAATAAAAAAAATTTATTTATCAATTTTAGACAAGTTATTTTACATTCTCTATCAGATAGACTCGACATACATTTTTGCCAAACATCGAAACATAAAAATAAAAAATATATATTTTAGAAAAACAAAATATTTTCCAAGAAAAATATTTTACGAGCCTAAATGCTAAATGATTGTGTACGGAATTACTATTATGTGTAATTATTTTCTATTAGTAAGAGAAATAATGAATGTTTATCAGTCCAGAATCTAGACATAACATAATAGACACTTTTGAAATGTCCAATAATTTTTCTAAAGAATAAAGATAACAAAAAAGAGGAGAACTAACTTACTGCTGAAAAGAAAAAGAAAAAAAAGAGAAAAATTGGAGGAGAACTTGCATGGGAGCTGTTGATCAAGAGCCAGATGGTAACGAAAAGAAAGTAAAATAATAGTAATTTATTTATTTTAGAGTAAGAATGTTAAGAATTATAGTGATTAGCGGATAGAGAAGAGAAGAGGATGCAAGATTTGAACACGAAAATAAAAGAATACTTGCAAAAATAGTAGTAATTGAGAGGAGGAAATGTACAGAAATAAAAGAAGGATGTGTAGAGAAGTGTGGAAGTGAAGTGCTCCAGTCTGCCATCTTCTCATTTGCTTGTCAGTCTTTCTTCTTGGGCTTAGTTTGGGCCTGTCGTAACCTTGTTAGTATTCTTCTTGATTTTGGGCCTTGGTTTCTATTTTGTATATGTATTTTTTTTCTTCATTATACAATTTTTTAAAAAATTATCGAAATGGAGTATAGAGGTTAGTATTTTCCGATCCTTTCTACTTTGTGTCTGGAGTATAGAGGTTAGTATTTTTTTTGTGGTGCACAAAAAAATGTTGGAATTGGTAAATTGAATCGATTGGACCGTTCAATTTGGTTTTACTTTTCACATTTCAGTTCAGTTTCACTAATATCATGGTTCGGTTCAGTTTCAATATATATTAAAGTACTAATATCAATTTAATTTGAAAATACTTTAAAATGGTATCTTCAATCCGTGTGCACCCCTACTTGTGCCTAGTATATAAAAAAAATGTGCAACAAACCCTCCAAACTATTTAGTATATGCATATAAATCTCTATAATTTAAAATTTTGTAGCAAATTGTTCTCAATTTTGACCAATTTTTTTTTTTTTTTTTCCTATGATAAAAATTCCAAAATGCACCTAATAAATTTTGTCCATAGAAGTGTTTTTTTTATTTTTTATTTTTATTTTGCTTTAAGGACATTGTAAGTATTTCAATCTTCAAATTGAGAAAGTATTCTTATTTACTCAATTTAAAAAATATAGATTTTTTAATATATACAACAAGGGGCTTTTGCACATTCTGTATAAGATGTGTTGATATTGATTCAAGTTGCAAATTTTCTGCTTCTTAATGAAGGATGAAACGGAGCCCATTGAGCTACACATTGAGTACTGTTATATTGACATTCAAGTTGCATATAAAATTACGAAAATATCATTTTCGCTTGGCTTCTAATAAGATAATGTATACATAACATCCCCATGCTATGAAATTAGTAGCGTATATACCCCCTTGGACATTTTCGAAAGAGTAAAATGGCAAAACAAGTATTACAACACTAATTTATGTCAAATTTCTTATTAAACAGTATTTTTGCATAATGTGAAAAAATTAAAAGTGTTTTTTACACACTTTTTTAAATATGAGTAAAAATACATCGCCGAATATATTTTAGAGGTGTTTCTGCACTTATCCTAATATACCAATATAAAATAACAAGTTATCATCGAGGGAGGGTGGTACCTTAGTATATTATGTAAATTATCATCCGGAGTCCAACTTGATCCAAATACATGTCCCAAATAAAAAGTTGATGGTTCAAGTCAAATAAGATAAGTGGATAAT